CTGTCGGCTCGGCCAGAGGTTGTCTCGGTCGTTCCCTATCGGCTCGGCCAAAGAGGTTGTCTCGGCCGTGCCCTGTCAGCTCGGCCAAGGACCAATAGAGAATAGTTAGGATGATAATCATAGTTAACGAAAGACAACACGCAATTAAGGCGTAACCAGCCGATTAACATCGTATTACCTAATTTGGTAAATGTCAGGGAAGGCCCACCCCGCTCAGGCCCATGACAGGTAGTATAAATAAGTCACACAAAACGAGGTATGACTGTTCATTTATTACTCTCGAGAATTATGATTGTCCTAACTTGAGCTTTAGAGTGCCTTTTGCAGGTACCTGCCCCCTCTGAAGCAAACTAGTCTAATAACTTTTAATACAGTAAGAGTCTAAGAGATAAGTTTACAACATTAATTTTTTATACTAAAATTTTTAATGCATTATTTTATGAGTTAATCATTCATATATTATCAGTGTAAAGTTTTTTTATACTGGCAATCAATTATATCTTTTAAATTATTTTATTTTATTTTTTATTTTATTAAATGAGCAATTGACATGACACTATTAAAAGATATGATTGGTTGTCAGTGTAAAAAAACTTTACATTAACAGTGTATAAGTGATTAATTCTTATTTTAATTTTATATAATATAATACTTTAAAGGTATATTGGATTAAAATTTGATTTTTTTTATTATAATTTTTTTGTGGTATTTAATAAAGATTTTTTAATATAAAAAGTTTATGTAATATTCAATTAAGACGATGAAGATTTTTTTTAAAATATGTTAAAATTTGGTGTTCAATTAAGATAATCATGATTTTTTTGAGAATTTGTCAAAATTTATGTTAAGAACTTTCAACATACACATATATAAATACATATAAAAGAATTATTAAATAACACTGATATAATTTTTATTAATTATTACACAATTTAATAATATTATATTATAAGTAAATTTTATCGATCTAACCGTTAAATTATAATTTTATAATACATTGTATGTTTATATCAATATATATTCAAATTATCATATAAAATAATTTTATAAATATTCATCA